GATATGCAGCATGAGGGAAACACAATGAGAACAAAGCAACATGATTCTTACTGCACACAATTTCCCCAGAGTTAGTCCTCTTGCTGAAGCAGTTCTTCATTCACTAAATGGAACAACTTAAGGGGACAGCCAGGGGCTCCAATTTAGAGTAAGAGCTCTAATCTGCCTTATGGGAGCAGCTCAAGGACCTATGGAAAAATGTTTGTTTAACAGTAATTTGCCTCAACTATAAATGGAAGCACAACAGAACTGACATAGTCCCACAATGACAGTTTGTGCTGAACAATAACAGGATACTTGCATTAACAGAGTTGTGCTCTACTTAGGAAGCAAAAACAAGTGACTATACCAAACTGAATTGGTACAACCATTTATTTCTGCAAGATGCCCTTCAAATGTCTTGCTGAAGACATCATTAGGGGATATGCTGGACTCTAAAGAGAGGAAGTTTTAATGCCTAAGGAAACACCTGTATATATGAAACTTCAGGCTTGTTTCATGAGGTCATTTTACTAAGTTGCTTTAGATTAAAGCAACTCTTATATCAGCTTTCCAGTCTGGTACAATCAGTCTAGATGCAAAACGAACCTTTGGATATTCACCCTTCAGAAAAAAAAGTCTACGGCTATTCTCATCTTGCAAATGGCAATTACAGTGCTTGGCTACCTGTCCAACAGGATGCCGACAGTTGCCCAGCAGGTGACTGACTTCAACCCGCAGTTTAAGAGTGGAAAAGTCTACAGTAATCTTTCCATTACAAAAAAGTAGCCTAAAATGAAAGTACACCTACTTTTTCTTATTCCATGAATAAATCCCAAGGTAGGGTTAATTCTTCTAAGGAGTATGCTACAACTTCAATGAAGGTAAAGGAGAACAGTCAAAGCCTTCCTCACTTGCCTTGACCTAAGGGTGGTATCACAAATGACATCTCACAACTCAGCTATGGGGTTTTCTTCCTTCTAAGAATTCTACTTCGAAAAACTCAAAGACTGTTCTAAAGCTGGTATAAGACATGCTTACAACAGGAAGAAAACTTCTAGTAGAGCCCTGTAGTATCTTAGTACCACACAATGTCTACAGCTCTTTTTAGATACCCATTGCTTTGTTTTGCATCCTTGAGTCAGTACTTGTACTAAGAGAAAAAAAAATAAAAAAATCAAGCAACCCATGCCAGAAAAAAGACCAGCAATCAAAACCAAAGTAAAACAGTTATGCAGTGTCTGATAATTGCCAGAAATGTATATGAAACAACCAAGATCACTGAAGAAAAGAATAAGCCACCTTATGACTCACAATGAGCAAAGGCTCTTCCACAAAGTCTCTTTTCATCAACTAAAAAATAAACTTACAAGAAAATCTGTGATAATGAGGTGAACATTACTTTATAGAAGTTTGAAAGAAATCTGTAAATCCATAAATAAGAGCAATAGACAATAGACTAAATATCTATTTATTATCACAAAGCACTAAGAAATAAAATAAAAAGAGTGCCTGAAGGAATTTTCTAAAGTAATCCTTCAAGTGAATAATTAAGAGGGAAGACTCTGCTCTTAAGTTCAAACTGACAGTGGTTTATTTGGACTTATATTTCTTTCTAAGTTAAAGCAGAACACACAATATCTGAAATGTAATCTATATACAACACAAAAAGGTATATGTTTTTCCTTAGAGATTATTTCATTGAGAATTTAGAAGACAAACTACTTGAAATGAACTAAAATTATACTAAGTCAGGGATAAAACTTCCACTTCAGAGACTCAGAAATAAAAAGAAGTCTCCTCTTGAAAAAATAGGAACACTAAGAAAACTCCCAAACAGTTTAAGACTTACTGATAAGGCCTCTTCCATATTCTCCTACAGGGAAAAAATACTGAGCACTGCAACACTAATAAAAACAATCAGTTCTCTAAGACTCGATGTAACTTTTTACCTTCTTAGTAGAAGTCTACTTTCAGAACCAATTCACATGCTTTTAGCAATAAGATCCAACACCACTCGCAGTATTTTCAAGCAGTGTTAGGTACACTGATTCAGTCAACCACACATCTTCCATGAGTTAACACAGAAGGCACAATGGAAACAGAGCTAAGATAAACACAAGAGAAAAACCTGAAATCAAACTTCTTTATGGATAAAACAGTGTTAGAATTAATACCTCTATTAATGCTCCAAAGAGCTTTTGCTGACCCTAAGAAAGAATCAGACTGATTTGCAACTCAGCTACAAACCAGAAATCACACTCAGAGCAGAGCCTAAAACACATATCCACCAACTCACTTTAGTCAGGTATTAAAATTTATTCTACTAGGCCGGTACATGGTGTTTACATACAATTCAGAAAACAAATCACAAAGCTAAGGTAGATGTCTGACCATGGGCTAGAGTAAACTGACCCCGCAATGGAGACTACAAGCTTGGCCAAAGGCCATCAGAGAACAGTGGTTCAGAACAGTATAGTTGTACTTCTGAGTTCAAAGATCTTTCTTAGCACTTCCAAACTAGGATTCAGAAGTCCTGTGAGAAGACCTGGGCATCCTACTTTGTCACCCCAGAAGGAAGGAAGGAAGGTGGTGTGTGTGTGTAGGATCTTTGCAAGAAATACTTTAGCAAGACTAAGTAAAGGATCAAAGAGGCACAAGCAAACAGGAAAAACCCTGAATAAACTCAGTCTGAAGTGCTTCTCATGGGGAACAGTCGATAAATGCTGTTAATTAAGAATAGGGGGGGGGAAAGCATACACATTTTCCACCACAAAAGACTCTACCCAACAGTCAAAAGAATTCAAGAGCTTGTGTTCTTTCACAGCTTGATAACATTCACATAAAACAACTTTTCATAATGCATATATTAATGCTAACTGGGGATCCCACAGCTAAGGGAGCTTTAATGATTCATTTACTAATGGAGAGACCAGAATTTGTACATGCTACAAAGGTAAACAAACACATCTGTCAAGCATCTTCTTTCCTTGTGAGCCTCAACTAGCATAATTAATCAAAATCTGATGATTGCTCTGCATAAGGAATGTGTCATTTGTCTGACAGACTGAAGGGGAAGTGGAGAGAAGAAAACCACACTTACACATTTCAACTCCTTTAGAAATGATGTCCTGATGTCCACAAACTCAGTAATAGCTGACAACAAACATAACAGCTAGAATTCAGCATTTTACAAAAACTGAACTGTAACTCTGGCATACTTCAAGAAATATGCACACAGAAGAGTTACACATATGTAAGCCTTTTACCAAACTCTTTTTTAAGATTAGCATTATTGTCATTATGCAAAAGTGAAACTTTCATTTTCTGGACCAAACAGGCCTAGTTCACATGCAATTAAAAATAAAAAAGTGCTTTGTCAGCTTTATGAAAGCTTTAAGTATTTAAATGTTTACAGTTAAATAATGGTAAGATTTTGGAAACTGTAAAGTAATGTTACACAGCTGTCATTTCTAAGCACGCAAGTGAATTCTGTTAGCTGGGCAATTCAGAATTTATACTTCAGTTTGACCTGGATATTAAACTGAAAACTTTCTTTTCCGATTAACTTATTAAAAAACACTTCATCAGATACTGAAATATGGTTCTTTGGCTGACAAAAAAAGCCTAACTATAAAAAAACCCAAACACTAAAGGAAAAAAATTAATTTAAAAAAAATTAATTTATGATTCATTTTGTCTACACAATTAAACCCTGGAAGAGTCATTTCCCAAACAGCTCTCTGCTTTTTAAAAAAATTGTTGTTCTTCATGACAATTGAGATAAAGTACTAATCAGCACCAAAAGATAAAACTACAGTATTTTAACAGAAACAAGATTTCTTGTGCTCCTAACAGAGAAACACAGGCACATATACAATAAGCGACCACAAGGATGTGAAGGTTTCAAATTTTGATTTCTCTGCTCAACAATAACAGCATTCTATTACTTTCCCTTTGGCATACGCCTATAACTCCACTACCACCCCTTTGGCAAAGCCCCATTTCTTTCTGTCAAGAGACAGCACTGGAGCAAGAGGAGGAAGGGAAGGACTCACATGCAGCTCACTTATGTATGCACGCTAGCTTTCAGTTTGCTACCAAATCTTCCCTATCTTTCCAAGGTGCGCCTGCAGTAGGTGTTGTGAATAGCACACTACCAGGTGGAAAACTCCCAGCTTTGCAGAAGGACCAGTGCAAGGAAAACACTCGGCAAGGGTGCTGGCTATCACCACTGCTGGTCCCCCACCGTCTTCACAGCCGAGACGCAGTGTCCCTGGCCACTCCAAACTCCTCCACTCTTCCGACCCTCCGGATCCGGGGTGGGCAACAGACTCCGGAGAGGTCACCTAGGAACTCTCCAGGGGGCGGGTGCGAACGCTGCCCCCGGGGTGCGTTGCAGGCGCGGGAGCCGCTCGCGCTGCTCTCGCCGTGCCCAGCTCTCCTCGTGCCCCGCAAGTCCAAGTGCCGGAGTTCCCAGGGCCCCGGTCCGCTGCCGCTGCCGGGCGGCGGGAGCGCGGCACCGGCCGAGTGGCCCCGCGGCCCACCCGGGCGGCAGCTCCTCCCCGCACAGCCCGCCTGGGCCGAGCGGGACCCACCCGCGGCTCCGCGGCTCCCCCAGCCCCGGGGCCGGCTGTGCCCCCCTCCTCCGCCGCGGGCCGCTCGCTCCGCCCGGGGGGAGACAATGGGCACGATGACTTCACCCTCCAGCAATGTGCGGACCAGCGGGGGACGCCGCCGACTTCCCCCTGGCCGCCGGGACACCCCCGGGCCGCGGCTCCCGGGCCCTCTCCCACCCGGGCTCGGGCCCCCGCCCAGAGGCGGCTCCGGCTCGGAGGCTCCGCTCCACCCCTCACCCGCCGCCACGCTCAGGGCGGCGGCCGCCGGCGGAGGCCCGAGCCGGGGGACGCCGCCACCGCCGGGCCCCTCGGCGCCGCCCGCCCCGCCGCGCACCCACCCCCGGTACCTGCGAGTCGGCGGGAAGAAGCGGCGCCGCTCCGCCCGCCCGAGCCCGGCGCCGCGCAGGAAGCGCCTTAGTCTGTGTGTGCCTGTATCGGAGAGTGTGTGAGTGGGAACGGAGGGGGCGGCGCCGCCGGGGCGGGGCGGGGCGGCGCGGGGCCAGGGCCGGGGCCGGGAGCGGGGCTGGGGCTGCCCGTGGAGGGAGGCGGTGCCCGGGCCGTCGGTTTCCGCGACGCGCTGAGCTCAACGCGCACGGCGGTGCCGCCCCTCGCCCGCCCCCGGCGGGGCGGCCCCGGCGGGCGGGAGCGCTGCGGACCCGCCGTGGGGCCGGGGTTCCTCTACAGTGCCCGCTCCGTGCTGAGCCCGACTCCGTGCTGAACCCGACTCTTTGCTGAGCCCGACTCTTTGCTGAGCCCGACTCTGTGCTGAGCCCGACTCTGTGCTGAGCCCGACTCTTTGCTGAGCCCGACTCTGTGCTGAGCCCGGCTCCGTGCGCGGGGCCGGCGGGGCGGGTGCGGTGGCCCTGCCGCGGTGGCGGGGGACGCTGCAGTGCCGCCGGCTTCAGCAGCAGCACGGAGTGCAGTGTTGTATATATGTACAGTTCCGTGGGCTTCACATTCATGGGAATGGAAGAGCGCGAGGCGAGGAGTGAACTATCGGGGCGTTTCAGTAGGGTTGTGCCGCTGATTAACTCACCAAGAAGGCAAAGCCCTGTTTCCGTGCTGTAAGATGCAGACCTTTCTTCTTTTCGCCCCCTTGCCATGTGAAACAGAACCCGCCTCAGAATTTGCCCAGAAGCTTTTCCTTCCTGCGTGGCCCTGCCCTGCATTTGGCTGCAGTCTGCCCCGGGCTGCCTCCGGCCGAGCTGTATGGCTCACCTGCCCTGGGTTCGGGTTTTCCGTCTCCTTTTGCTACTGACCTTCACGCCGTCTTCCCCGGGATTCCCTCTGTCTGCAGTGATATCGTAGCTGCTGCCCTCTCCCACAGCCTGCTCGCTGCCCCTGACCTCCGGTTCTGGCCCGACTCCGAATCTCCTCTGACTAGTTTAAAGAATTATTTACATACACTAATACTGCATTGGATTTAAGTCGAGTACTGTCTTTTTTAATTTGTTTATTTTTTCCTAGTTAATCATTCATACTGTCTCATGTCATCTCGGAATTCTCTGGAACTGGAGTTAATCCTGTGCTTACGACTGGTGGTTCTTCCATTAAGCTGGTATGAAACCTGAAAACTTAATCTGGAAAAAAGTTATTAATCACCCAACCTGCATATAACGTGCAAAGATAGTAAAATGAATAAAATGTACTGTGCTTTTCCTGCAGAATTTGCAATGTACCATCTGTTAAAGGCTTGCAGGTACACTTACCTTTATTTATGTGCATAGTTCCATTTAAGTCAATAGGACTACTTCCAGTACATCAAATTAAAAGTAAATACGAGTCATTCCATGGTGAGATACTTAATCTGAAATGACAGAATAGGCAATTACAACAAACAGGGAGGGGAAGTGGAAAATAAGGGTAACAACTATGGGATTATACTGGAATTTTAGCATGTTGCATACAAACCATGCCAGTTCCTTCTTTGCTTGTAAAAACCAGCAGGTAGGTGAGTTGTTTAGACTCAGATATGGAAAACGTACGTGACACTTAAGGCATGTAAGTGGTGCCATTGTATTCACCTGGGTAAGATATACAGAAATATATTACATAAACCACTTGCAGGGTGAAGTCTTGGCCGCTTTGTTATGTATGGGATTTGACACAGAGAAAGGGAACTAGTTCATAAAATTAAGGGAGAAAAAGGAAAGGCAAGAGTGGAGGTGTGTGAAGGAAAGAAATAAACACAGGAACAAAAAGATTAGCATATAGAATAGCATGGTATTTTTACTGGAATAGGAACAGCAAACCATTTACCAACTCAGATGTGCAGCTACCAATAAAACAGAAACCAGCAACAAGAAATGCAAAGCAATGCAGTAATGTGTTACTTTCTAAACGTCCAGAGGGATTTAGCAAATTGGTACAAATGTTCTGAAATCTCTTGGCTAATGCTGGAGAACAGGAGGGAACAGGAGCCCAGGTGTTTTAAAATTCTGCACTGGGAGATTGAGCAGCCACTGTCGTGGTCAGATGGTTTTTCCTTGAAGCTGATGAGGGAAAAAGCAAACCTCCAGCCAGCCACCCTCCTGAGAGCTTGGCAGCAGAGGGCCTGCAGCCAAGTAGGTACTTTTCATCAGAAGTATTTGAAATAGTCAATTAACAAAATACAGAAAGCGTGGGGAGGAAAGAGAATCTTTTCAGCACAAGCTGTACACCAAAACTGACAGTAGTTTGTTTTAGTATGTAGAGAAGATATGTTTGTTTGCTTGCTTGCTTGATTATTGTTGTAGAACACAATGACAAAGCGGTATTAAGGAAAAGTAGGGGCTGCTCAAACTCTGTAACAGAGGAAACGCCTCATGCACACTGCTTTTGGGGAGGCATACAAGATTCAAGAAAGCATACAAGCCTACCTTTCCAAAATACTGTCCTGACAACATCTAGGATTTAAACTTTCTGGGTATTTAATTCAACTGCTTGCAGAAAAGTACAAAGTATTATATCAGAATACAAAAATACTGCCCTCCAAACAAAGTGTCTGGTATGTTCTAAGGAGACATAAGCACACACAACATGCTGTCAAATGGGGAAGGGCAAAAATCATATCAGCATGAAGAGAGGTGAGCAGACAGGGCTGAGGAAGGAAAATGCTTTTTCTATCAGTAGTAAGGAATGGAGAAAGGGTATGACATGAACAACCTCATCTTAATTTTGTGTATTCTTCTCATAATCTATGTTTGTATGGATTGCTGGCCTCAGTGAAGTTTCAATATTTACATATGAAACACTGATATTATGTATAAAACACTGCTATCTCATATGGTACTGTAAAATCCAGTGCCTTGGGCCAGAATTTAATGTGTTGGTGGTCTTTTGTATAAACTTAGGTTGGAAGAGTATCAAATATGATGGGTAAATGTCTCCATGTCTCTGATCCCACATCTGTGTCTTCCTTAGAAATCTTTATCTGAGTATTCAACCATCATCTTCAACATAAGATTGACAAATCCAAACTTTATTTTTGTATAGGTAATTTTATATTTCCTGCAGCCTCTGAAATCATCTGGTCTCCAGGCCATCATTTTTAGGGGAAAAATTTATCCCCAACCTTTCCCCTTTTGACACATACATTTATGTCCTTGACCTTTCTTTCATCTTGTTCTGAAGAACACCCTTTGTTGGAGGATTCACTGCTCTCCTACGTTTTCCAGCTCAACTGTCTCACTGATTTGTTTTTTTTCCTGGAGAGTTTATTTTTAGCACCCCTGATTTTACTGATCTGTCTTACAGTGTTGCCCCACAGATGGCTGCATTTGCACAAAAAGCATAGCAGAAGATTGATGTGGCAGCAGAAAAAAAGTGGCATAGAGAAGGAAGAGAACTGTCTAGATCAATTTTGTTGCTGGAGAAAATGTAGTATGGAAATGCATTCTGACTTGCAACTAAAGAAGAAAGGATAAAAGCCTTTAATGAATTGAAATATCTGCAATACCCATGGATAGCAAAACATTCTTTAGACTGGGCATACAAAAATAGGCAATACTAATAAATATCACTACATAACTGATACATATTGTATATTAATATAGCTAAGAGACAAATTGCATGGGACAGGAATAAGTGTTGAATATCGTCAGGTTTCTGTTTACCTGTTGTGAAAGATTATTTGTCGTGCACTGATTGCCATCAATTGTGTTGAGTGCAGTAGATAAAAAAAAATAATGCAGATGCGCCATGATGACAAGGCTAGGATAATGGATTAGTGTCAAATAGAGCTATCTAATGTAGATGCAGTCTCACTGATCCAAGCTACAAAGTGGAAAGGTACCAGTAAACAACGTGCAAGCTGAAAACTTTCCAAATTTTTTGGCATGTCATAAAACATTAAAGGTGAAGGCTTCCATAGCCATTTCAAACATCTCAGATATCTTCAAGTTACATCATCTGATCTAATCAGTTTCTGTAGTAGTCAATAAAGAAAAAGCAAAGGTAGAAAATTTACAATATATGGAACTACAGTCCCCAGAACATACCTACTGCATGAAAGAAAACCTCTTTAAATAAATTAAATAGGTTTATTTCCAGCCCCAATAACAGAGAATAGAAATAGTTTGAGAAATCTAGGTGCCTGAATCCAAAAATGTTGCTCTTGAACATATATCAGATGTCACTCAGCTTATAAGTCTCCAAAAGTCTGAGAAAGACTGCTATATTAGCATAACATTTCTTGAATGCCTAAAACTCTACTCCTAAATGTAATATTTAAATTCTGGAGTTGAGGAGTTGCAGGATGCAGGAGTGATACCTGTGTATTTTCTTGGAATTAGGTGTCCTGACTTTTTAAAAGTCTGTTGGTTATCACTGTCAGTATCCTTAGGGAAACTTCAATTTAGAAAAATAAATGAAAATCAACTAAGAGTTATACTGTGAAAAGAAGCAGACTATCATTTCTGTTGCACAACACTGTCTCCGTTCTAGTCCCCTGAACTTTCCTCCTCTGTTAGTCAGAACAGTCTGAAACTTCTCTTTTTCTGGGTTGAGAGGTTATTTGCTTATTCTCTGCCCAAAGGTGAAATTGTTTCTGGAAAGCTTGAGCAAGAATGTTTTTGCTCATTTTAAGTGTGAGAACAGTGGGGTAGGGGGAAATGTTGCATAAAGGTAAAAGTACTTGAGGGTTTTCTAAATAACTTTTTCATCATGATGAGGAGATGTGAAGAGATTAAAGTCATGATGGAAATAACCATGCTTCAGAAAGACCTATACGTTTTCTAAAGTTGGTCTCAAATCATTCAGAGGGTCCCTCAAGCAGCATATACAGTCCATCTTCAGCAGAGCCAGAGAGCATTTAGACTTGCCCTTCCCTGCTCTCTGGCTCTGCAGGGTAGGACTTGGCTGCAAGGACCTGTCCCCATCACGCAGCCCTAAGCCTGACAGCTGGAGGACACCAGGACAGCCCCAGCCCTGGACAGTCCCAGCCCTGGGTATCAGGCACCTGCATAGGGACTGGCTGAGGCCAGGCTGGGACATGAGCCTACAGGTGTGCCTGGCTCGGTGGGACCCATCACTGGGGCAGGGGCTGATGGCTCCAAGGGTTTGAAATGGTGTCCTGGGCCATTGGCAGGGACCTCAGGGTCCCAACACATCCTTATGGAGAGACTCTATGTGGCTTTGCCATGGTAACTTCAAGAGGAGCTCACTGAAGCAGAGCTCTGGCAGGAGCATTGCTGTGTGCAGTCATACTGGAGGTGGAAAAGGACAGAGTTGGGGAGGAGTGGTTGCCTTTAGCCCCTGCATAGAGGGCACGTGATTTCTGATGCAATGGCTAAGGCTGTGGGAGCCAACAGCAAGCAGCAATAGGACAGAGAACCTCTGTGCAGGGAGAGCTTTCCAGAAGTGCGTCAACCCTCCTGGCTTCACTGGAGCAAACAGGCCATTTGTAGGGTAGAGTCACTTGATCTGCATGGGGAGCTGCAAACATAGCTCTGCCAGGTTGTCTGGCAATTCCCGCTTGCAATAAAATATCCTGCAGCCACTGCCAAGGACTAGTAACAGCAATTTCCATGGTCAGGAGCACCCAACTCCAATAATCTCTCAAACACTTCCCAAGACTTCAAGCCTGTTTTGTGGCACAGAAAGGCCAGTGACTGCAGTGCCATGAGTTTACCCAGGAACGGTACATAATTAAATCTTTGACAGAGAGCACTAAATAGTTTTGATTCATTCAGTAGGCAGCATACCAGGATGTGCCTAGATGGGCCATGATGCAACCTGACTGGAAGATAACTGCTGGTCTCAAATGTCCCTTCCACGTGCAAGAGAAGCATCTGAAGCAGCCAAAGGTTTTCAGTCTAGCCACCACTCAGGCTACAGAAAAGAACTGTCAATAAAGACCACTGAGGTACTGCCCCAAACATTTGACAGAGTTTAGCTTCTGTCTACCAAGCTCCTTCATTGTGCAGTCTAAGCTGGTGCTCACAGAAATGCACTTTTATCTAGGGCTGACCCCTAGTTCTTGACACCTCTTGCAGATATTTGGGCAGTTGCCTTTGGAGAACTGCTCCTGATTCTGCTCCCAGTAATGCTCCCAGAATGCAATCTGCAAGGGGTTGAGCCAAGACCCTGCATCCATACACAAGGTTGCTGTGCTGGCCCTGAGGATAAAGGTATCTTCAGGAGCCATGTTCCAATGAGGACCTCAAGGACATCACAGCAGAGGAATGTCAAAAGAGCTATCTCCAGCAGTACTTTCATCAGATGCAGATCCAGCCCTGATGAGAATCTTTTCTCCTATATGTACAAGAAAGGAAACTGAACTGGCAAATGAAGCAGTGAAACAGGTCTCCCAGGGAAGTGATAGAGTCACCATCCTGGAACATGGTTTAGTGGTGGAATTGGCAATTCTAGGTTAACGGCTGGACTCGGTGATCTTAGAGGTCTTTTCCAACCTAAATGATTCTATGATTCTATGATTCTCTTATCTATGAAGTGTTTGGGCTGAGACTTCAAGGGCAGACCCTGTGAGCTTCAGGCCTGGAGAGAGAGGAAGGGAGAACTTCCCACGAACTTCTTCCTTCTAGATTCCATAGCAGTCAGCCTGCACACTTAGGAGGCTTGTGAGGGGTGAGAAGGCCACAGGAGCTTTGTGCGAGTCCTTTCTTCTTTTAGTTTGCTTGAAAACCAACTTGCTTCATGAGTAAAGGGGCATTTTGAATAGCTTTTTCAACCTTTTAATATTTGTTTTGGAACCTGAAGTACTTCTCTCTACTTTCCAGCTTCTCTCTATATTCTTGAAGCCTTTGACAGCTCAGTTTCCTGTCTGCACAGAGATGAACCAGCCAACTTTACTTGGTGAAAGAACTGATGGGTTCTGGACCTATGAAAGGCAAGAAGTGAATCCACTGGGTTTATTGGTAAGGTCTAGGGTTTTTGGTATCCATTAGCCATTTAACTACATAGTTGGCAGAACATTCCTGGGAATATCTCAGATTGGCTACACACCATGGTACCTGGGAGAGGATCAGCTCTCTGCTAATGGTTGAAAATGGGCAATGGGTCTTTATCCATGACACCTTCCAACCCTCTGGATTGCCAACAACCTTCTGGATTATCTATGGGATGGTCCTCTGAACCACATCTTGCAGAGTCTTGTCCAGTTCAGTCTTTTTATTATGCCTAAAAACATAGCCCTAGAGAACATATTAAACAGTTGGTACACAGGGGACTTTATGTGCATTTCCATTAATGGCAAAATGAGGAAAATGCTGTAACATGTTTTCTTCTCCCTGCTATCCAACAAGGCTCCCAGGAGCTGGTCCTCCATCCAGCTTCACCTTTGCCATGCTTCAAGTGGAGTGCTACGACTCTTGGGTGGTGTGCTGACTGTACCTGTCCTTCTCAAGAAGAAAACAGAATTGATTTAAAATATATTTAACATATGTTTGAGGCCACAGTTGTTAATTTCTAGAACCAAGTGTTTTGAGTTAGCTTTCTACTCTTTTTTTTGCATGCTAGAATTTGCCTACTGTACCAAAGTAATCAAGTCAGGAATCAGAGGATTTGGCTTCTCTGAGGACTGCGTCTGCCTCAAATTCTGCAGAAGATAACTGTGTGTTGGTGTTGCCTTTTTTTTTTTTCCCCTTGGCTTGTCTTCACAGGGTTTCTTTCCCTTGATTCCTTTCTATTTTTGCATTAGATCAGCGAAACACATGACACCTAAGACTTCACTCACTGTGCCCCCTGCTCCACCCCCTGCACTCAATTCTGTCCAAGATATACGGACAGAGATTTCCTCTCACCCCAAGGGTAATGAGTCACAAAGTCTGGATGATTAGAAGGAAGGGTTAGGGTTTCACCTGCCTTTTGGGAGATCATTTTCTCCCTCAGATACCATTCCTAATCCTACACTCACTGCAGATTGCACTGTATCACAAGACTGGTAGAAGTGAGTCCTCTCTGGAGACTGCAGTGCTATGCATTGCTTTATGGAAGGTGTTTCTGCACCACATGTATCCCTAGAGGGTTGGAACTGACACTTGACATTGAAACTTGTTTAATATTTTTTTTGTTTCAAGTTTCGATAAAGTTTAACCACTGAGATAATCCAGGTTTCTGTTTGAAGCAACAGAAGGGCAGCCATACTGCTCAGTGAGCAGGCTCTCTGGTGTTGTGGGGTTTATCTGTAGTGCAGGCTGTGTAGATACATTTGGGCTAACTCTACATGGGTTCAGCTGGCTGTGAAAGCACAGAGCCCGGTGAAGAACAACAGCTCACCAGCCTTCCAGGCCGTGAATTGCTCTGTGCTCTTGCAGCGTTAGTGCTGACACTGAGTTCGTTGAGATCTTGAGATCCTACTCTTGCCACTGCTGCTTGATTTTTTTGTCCTTTGCTTCTCTAGGGATTGCTGTGATTATGAGATTTGGTATAAAATTATTCTTTGCAACAGTAACTGGCAACACACATCTCTGCTTATGTGAAGGTCTT